ACATAAGTATACTGAGTAAATCTTTACTGCATAATTTCCATCAGGACCTAGAATAGTTTTTACATTTTATAAGCTCAGAGAAAAATGTATAGAAGTTAAAATACAGAAAGACTTGAAAAAACAAAGTTACGGCTTTTGTAGCAGTGTAATATATACTCCTCAGCAATATGAAGATGAACATAATAGGAAAAAATACAAAAAATATGGAAAATATACAAAAGGAAAAATATTGGAAGAAAAATTATAGCATCTTCTTGAGTTACGCTAATCATGCGTTCACCATAGTGTTTAAATAAATATTGTTTTTTTATGAATCTTACCTAGCTTATACACATATTTAGCTGGAATTAACTCTAGCTTTTCTTTTTTAAATTTTTCTATCTGCTGTTCTACATCTATAAATTCTTCCACTTTAACATCTTCATCATTATTACGCTTTTTACTACTACTTCCTTTTATTAGCTGTTTAAACATTTTTATTTTCTATAAATTCTACACACTGGTTTCCTAGGTAATTTAAGTTTTTCAAAACATCTAGCTATATCTTCTTCGTTTACTTGAGATTGAGGTTTATTGGATTGTCCTTCTATTCTTTTTTCTTTCTGAAGTACTATTTTTTCTAAAGACGCTAGACGATTTTCTAAGCTATGTAGTTGTTCTGATAAATATTCAAGTTTTTCGCATATTCGAATTAAAAATAAAATTTCTATATTATTTTGTCTTACTGATATTTTATCTGATTGATTTATTCCTTGATAAGTACTAATTCCTTCCGGGTTATTATGAAAGTCTTCTGCTTGTTTTAAAATAGTCTGGTAATCTCTATTAGCTTTCTTATCACTACTCATAAACTTAGGACCTTACAAGTTGTTCTAAGATTTCTAATTTTTGTTTTAAATTGTCTTGAATTTGATTAATTTGTTCTATTTGTTTAGCTATTTGATTTGTAGCTGAAATTAATGTTTCTATTTCTAGCTTAGTAGGAAATTTTTCTAAATTTGAATCTATTCTTTTTTGTAGGATATAACTACACTGATCTTGAATATAATCTAATTTTTTATCTTGATTTTTAATTATACTACGATTATTACGGAGATGATCTATGGATGAAATAAAAAGATTACTAATTTTATCTGTGTCCTTTTTAATATTTTCTGCAAAATTAATCTGATAATCTATGATGCTATTTAACTGAGGATTATGTTCACTATGAAGCTGATGTGTAAAAGTTTCTTCAAAATTACAACGGAAATTATTTTTATTTACGCTAAGGCGACGGTTATGGCTGCTGAGTTCTAAATCTAGATACTCTACTTTTTTCATATACAAAATTAACTCCTACTATAAAATTATTACAAGCTACTATAATATGAAATTTATAACTAAAATCTCCAAAAATGAAAACTACTCTATTACCATAAGCAAAATGCATAAACTAATTTAAACTGTCCTAAAACCGAACACTGCTCTGATACCAAATTTTTGTGTGTGTGGGGTTGAGTTAGTGGTTTACCATTATTTTGAAATTGGGCTGAGAATTATCTGACTAATTCTACAGTTATGCTACTAGATCTTCAAGCTGTTGTATGGCTATTTTTAAGGCTTCTTGTTTTGCAGTTAGCTGTTTATTTATTTGAGAAATTTTTAAACTGTAATTTTCTAGAGATCTGTTAGAAGCTAATGATAAAAGAAACTGATATCTAAATTTTTGATCTTCTGATTCTTGTATTAGTTCAATACTAATTTTAATTTTATTCCTAAGGTCTTCGTCTAAGGGCATATACTTTTCTGATTTTTTGAAATTTAATTTTTTTTATTTCTAGCGTCTACTTTTAAGGGCGTGCAAATTTTGATTTTTTGAAATTCTTATATGGACAATATTTCCTTAATATTTCTACTCGGGTTGTACTCCTTTTATTCTAAAATTCTTTTCTATGGTAAAAACTATTTTTAAGAAATGTTTGTTTTCATTACATGTACTCCCACCTTGAGACTAAGCCTCGTTCAACATAGTATATTTTTATTTTCCATTTTTTACCTTTCCCTTTCTGCCTACAATTCGCCCTCCAACGCCTAACCACGGCTCACACGGGCTCTTCAGCTAAGGTCACTCAGTAACAAAATAGAAAACTGAAGATATTACGAAGGTTCAAAGCATGTAATATTAATGAGCAAACAAGCATTCCATAAACTTAGTTTTTCCAAAAAGAAAATAAATTTTTAGAATGGAAGAGTCACCCTTTCGAAATATTTAAGGAAAAAGAGAAACTACTCACACTTCATATTAATAGGAAATATACTTACAGAGATTATATTACAGACTCTGAAACTCTGAAAAACTTAATACAGTTAGAGGTTTTTGAGAGGGGTTGGAAAATTTACAACGCAGAGTGAAGTGGTGTTTTTTCATTCTGCTTCATCCGTTGGCATGCCAGCCAATTTATACACAAAGTTGATATATACAATCCAAAAAACAATACGTCAAATGTTTTGGCTAAAAACAAAAGTCTAAAAGGCTAGAAACAAAAGTCTAAAAGGCTAAGGCTATTAACTCTAATCTAACTATAGATTCCTAGACTAATAATATCTATGCCATAAATGCATAGATTTGGACGTGAGTTACTATTAAGGATAAAATTTTATCAATAAGAGATTAGGATAATGATATCATGTACTGCTTTGGGCCCCATCGCATATCATTCAATCCTTCTTTTTTGACAAAATTCTGACACTATAAGTTATTACAGGACACGTATAAGGATTTTCACAGCTTTTCTTTAATAAAGCAAGATAAGAAATATCTACTTTATTAAAGTAGTGAGTGAAGGAAAATCCTTATCACTGTCAGACTCAAATAATTACAGACACGAAATATTTGCAAAATCTTTTTGGGTTTTTCTTGGCGTATATTTTTCTGATATCTGAGGAGAATCCTTATCTTCTATGGATTTTGTCTTCTTTTGTTGGATCTGAGGAGAATCCTTATCTTCTATGGATTTTGTCTTCTTTTGTTGGAGCGCTAATTATTGATATAGACCTTTTGGAGTGATTCTTCAAAGTTGGGTCTTCGTAGAAGAATTCTTCAAAATGTAAAGAAGAAAGATGTTCAAAATGAAATTTCCTTTATTTTTGTAATACTAACAACAATTCTCAAAATGTTTTTAACAATTTTCGATTAAAAATAGACCAATTCTGATGGAAAGTTGGGATTTTAACAAAAGCTGGTCAAAATGAGTAAAAAGCTAACTACACCAGCACGCAGAGGCAGCCGAAAACCAAATGGAGAAGGAGAATCAACAGAAGCTGCAGAGCACCTCCAATGTTCATCTTACAAAACCAATCAGATGCATCGTAAAACTCGGTCAGCAATCTCATACATATATACATATATATATATCCTTATTTTTCTATATATATCCTTATTTTTCTATATCATCTTCGTTTGATGCGAATTTTATGTCCAATTTCTGATTTATCTGCCTCAAGTAGCTTATTTGGATGCAAATTTTTGGATTTAGAGGAAGTGGGGTTTGCAGATATAGTTCCCAGGATTGGGAACAGTGGCGGACGCAGAAATTGTGCAAAAGGGGGCTAAAGCAAAATTATTTAGATTTTAGAGAAATTGAAGTAAGATTATATAGATTTTGGAAATCAAAATATTAATTTATTTTACAAAAAAACTCAAAATGACATGAAAGTAATGGGATTTTTCAAAGGTTTAGGGCGACTAAAATACTAATTTGTTTTATAATTACTAAAAATTGCATGAAAATAATGAAAACTTTCAAATTTTAGGATAGCAAAAGTAAAATTGTTTAGATTTTGGAAGGTTTGAAGTAAAATTATATATGTTTTGAAGGGGCCAAAATGCTAAGTTCTTTTATAAATATTCAAAATTGCATGGTAGAAGTGCAATTTTTCAAAAGTTTGGGGGGCTGCCTGCCACTCCGTGTCCGCCACTGATTGGGAATGAAATATTTTTATGTCTCAGTATTTTAATAAATTTTACTGTATTTTCTCTGAACTAATCATCCATTCTTGTTCATTAGCTGAGCTCCAACAAATGAATATAATCTAAAAATATGGACACATTTTTTTAATGTAAATATCTTTGAATATAATCTAGAATGTATATTTCAGATATTTAGGGCTGGTTTGGCATACATCAAAAAAGCTAAAAACTCAAAAAGTTACTAAAAAAAGTTAAAAAGTTATCACTATTCAGCACAAAAAAAAAAAAAAAAATTTAATTTTACAAAAAAGAGTACAACTTACATGTCACGTGAATTGTACTTTAGCTGCCCACTGTTTGTACAAAGGGAATAGGCGGAGAAGCAAACAAGACCGTAATGTTTGGTCTGTGGGGGTCCATCACGGGTCTCGTTTTGATAATCTGAACCATTCAATGTGTAGAACTCGTTGAGTAATATATGCCTGTAAAAAATCACGTTGATCGGATGTCATTAACTACATGATCAAATCAGTTTTGTATAAAAAATTGATGGTGTTATAGTTAACGGTTGACAAAAAATTAATCCGATTAGATAGCTATCAATATCCGATTAACATGATTTTTTACAAGTATATAGTACTCAACGAGTTCTACACATTCAACGGTTTCGATTAGCAAAACAGGACCTGTGGTGGGCCCCCACGGGCCGAACAACATTGTCCAATTTAATTCTCGAAAAGGAGGTAAGCTTATCCTATACACTATTCTGCCCACTGTACTGCCTACTCTGCCCAAGTTTCTCCTATATACTAATTTATACAATTTTTTAATATATATTTTTTTCGTAAAAAGTCAAAAAGTTATCCGAAACAACCATATATTTTTCCTCGACTTTTTAGTCCAAAAGGTCAAAAAGTGCACTTATTCAGAACACCCCAAACAACCACAGTAGTCGTTTGAGATGTGCTATTTTAGTGCACTTTTTGACTTTTTGGTTAAAACAGTAGAGAAAAAAAAGATGTACATTTGGGATAACTTTTTGACTTTTTACGAAAAGATGTGTAATAAAATATTGTAGTGAAATTAAAATGACAATTTTACTCTTTTGACTTTTTGGGTAGTTGAATTCAAAAGGCAAAATAATAATTTTGCCCTAGTGGCTTCCCCCACAAGTTGCCCTTGAATAATATAGACTTTTTAAACTTTTTTTAGTTTATCCCAAACAATGCCTTAGAATGGATCTAGAATACACAAATTTGGATATGACCTTGAATATGCACACGTGCGCGCGCGCACACACACACATATATATTTGTGCGGGTGTTGTTTATGCTTTTTTGTTTTTTTTGCAAGTTATGGAGATGTGTATTGAAAAATCTCTTTTCTTAAATGGTCGATTTACACTTATGATTCAATTAGTCAATTCATCAAACACTTGATGATTGATTATACCAATCTCCAAAACTAATCAACCAATCGACATGAATATGTTTAGATCTATATCAATTAACAAGCAATTTAACAAGATATAGACATTTAAGGGAGACGAGGCTTTAAACATGGAAAACCTTAATTAGAGAACCTCCGTTTGAGATGAAAAACTACAGGCCAATAGCCACAAATCAATCCACAATAATGAAATTGACCAATTACAAGTGAAGTCTTACGATCAAATGGTGAACCATCACCTAATGGACTTGAGCATATCTAGTTGCTTCCGCTTTCATTGCTTTCCTCGGGATTGATTCAAAATGCTGCCAAACAAATCCATGACGTCCGAGTTGCATCTTCAATCCACCAAAGCCCTCCACTCTTGCCTTTGGAATCCACCAAAGAAATTTGCTCTTGGAAGTGAATTTGATGATGAACTACCTTGAAGATCTTCAATCAATGTTTTAATGATCGCAAGTTCATTCATTTTTTTCGATGGTTGATCAATTCTCTCCCTAGTAAATTTCACACTTGTAGAGAGAGAAACTAAAAGCTTAGATCTGAATTTGATCGAAATCATGCTTTTTAAACTAGCTGAACAAACTCAGACTGCTCGTGCTGTCTAAGGACAGCTTGGGCAGTGATTACAGCCATCTAGTACTTTTGTGCAGGCTTTGAGATCTAGCAAGGTACAAATCACCACTGGACCACCACTTGTCACTTTTACACTATACTTCTACTGATTAGTACTTGAATGCAACGTCCATTTGGGTAGGGTTCTCAACAGAAACAAATACAATTACATTTAAAGGAAAGATTACAAATAAGAAAGTGTTTATCGAATGAGATTGCCAACTAAGTTCTAGACTAAGTCCTAATAATTAGCTCCCCCATTGGCAATTTTATGACAAAACAGTTAACATCATAAACCTAACCCCAACCCAATACAATGAACCAACCACTAAACTCCATGGACAAAATTTACAAAACCCGACCTTAGCACAACTAAGAGTAGGAAAGAAGATATTTAGCAATAAACAGCAACCCTTTTTGTCATGAATTGACAAAGGGTGTTTGACAAACAACTATCCATTCAATAAGATAAAATGCAGGATATCTAACAAAGATAGTACATTCCACAATGATAGATTATCCTTATAAAGAAAATTATAGTGCTAAGATAAGTTCATCATAACAAAATATCCAACCTACACAGAGATTAAGAAATACAAATTACAATATCAAAATAAACTGTCTAGGAAGTATAAAGCATATAACCATAAACTGAAAAATTGTCCAAGCAACAAAAACCAAATAATCTCATCTTCAAATCAATGAGGTTGTTGGTGCTCTAGCATCGACACAATGTATCCCAACTGACCCTTCATCTGATCAAGTCAGCCTCTGACATCCTGTACAAAGCTTGCGTGATCCTGCTCCAATCTAGCCAAGCGCCCCCGCCTATGCCTCTGGCCTGTCGATGTTGAGGCTCTCCCCACCTGCAGTTCTTTCATCATAAGCTGCCTCATCTCCTAGTCCCTCATCCATTGCCTGACCATCTCCACCATCTCCTACATGTGCCTTTACTCTAGGATACGGTTTTCTTGGGGACATGCTTAAGGATTTGGTTCATCATCAAAATACTCAGTCCCTTGGATTGGAGGAATGGTGAATAAAATGGCCATAGGGAAGAGCTATGTTTTCCTTAGCAGTGTTCTTGACCATGTTCTAATGGGACATAAGGTTGACATCAATAACAAGATTCTGGGAGATGGAAACTAAAACATATCCCTTCTCCTAGTTAACTTCGAAGTTGTGGTTTCAAGGGTCAATGTTGGCACATACTATGAGATTCAACAACCGAAAATGAGGGAGGAGCTCATTTTATTTGATTAGACCATCAGGCCAAACCCTAGGATGGGCAACCAAGGTGGTGGCAATAGGATAGGCAACAAGTTTTTCATGAGTCACACCTAGTAGGGAAGCAATAAGGTCAAGAGAGATGGTATGGACATGGCCCCCAACAAAGGTCTTGAAGGTGATGTAGCTATCATTGACCTCATGAACGTTACAAAATGTACTCTCTAACCCAATCAATATTGACCTCCCTTGGGAAGAACATTCCTTTCAATCAGGAGGACTACTCTCTTGACTAAAAGGTTTTGAAATTTATGGTCTTACTTGACGTTTTGGAACTTTGCATTATTAAAAGCTGATTTACGAGCATTTTGTTTGGCGCGTTTATGGGAGGTGAAGGCCATGAGTTAGGAACTACTATTGAGAACAGACCTAACACCAAACACACACCAATAACATTACCAAAATGAGAACCAAACCATATAAAATAATGGATTACACATTGCCCATAACAACACTCATACAGATGATCATTAACAACTCTCTTGGCGAAAAGGTTTTGAAATTTATGGTCTTGCTCGCGGTTTTGGAATTTAGCGGTATTAAAGGCTGATTTACAAGTAGTTTGTTTGGTGCGTTTATGGGAGGTGGAGGCCATGAGTCAAGAACTACTATCAAGAACAAACCTAACACCAAACTCACACCAACACCATAACCAAAATGAGAATCAAGCTGTATAAAATAATGGAATTGCAAGGTCCATGACAACACTCATACCAATGATCATTGACACATTTCTGAAAAGAAGAAAACAAAGTAAAGCCGTAAATAGGTAAATGAAAAAAATTATGACAATAATCCAGACTGAAATAGATGCAATCGACGGATAAGGGAAACCAACAAACAACCTTAACCTTGAATTGATCAACTAAAAAAAAAAAGAAATTGGGTTCAAGAAACAAACCCTAAACCAAAAGGCTACGCCAAAGCCAAAAAAAGTCAAGCAAAAACTCAGAAAAATCAAATTTAAAAGCAAAGGTTTGTGAAATCAAAGTTCTTAGAAAATAAAGAATGCTCACCAATTTTCTTCAAGAATTCATCAATTCTCTCACTAGAACAGTTCGAAGAATTTTTCACACTTGTAGAGAGAGAAACTAAAAGCTCAAATCCGATTCTGATTGAGATCTCGCTTTTTAAATTGACTAAACCGACTCAGGCAGTTTGAGCAGTTTGAGCTCCGCTTGAGCAGTGATTACAACCATACAATACTTTTTGCTCAAGCTCTGAGATCGAACAAGGTACAAATCAGCACTGGACCACCACTCGAGCGGTGATCACTTTTACACTATACTTCCACTTTTGGCCTCTTGGTACTTTAAGGCAGTCTGTGGGGGTAGGATTCTCAACAAAGAGAAGTACAATTGCATTTAAAGGAAAGATTACAAATAAGAAAGCTTTTGTAAAACGGGATTAACAAAACTAACTTCTAGTCCTGGTATGTATTTTTTTGGTATGGGTTCAGGTGGTTCCGCAATTACTTGCAAAAATGAATTAGAGACGATAAATGAAGAAAATCTCAAGACGGTTTCGCGGCAGCTGAGGCAAACAATGATGGTGTCGGATTCTTCTTGTGGAAAGGTTCTTGGAATGGATTGGAGCAAGCGGCCTGGATTTACAGAAACTTCTTGTGTTGTTGATGATTTTTGTGATCAACCAGCTTTAGACTTCAGCCATTTCATGGTTGTCCACGGAGCAGGTTAATTATGTAGCTCATTTGTGGTCATTGTTTATTTTTATTTGAATTTTTATTAAAATCATTAGGATTGGAGATGTTGATATTTTGAATTTGATTTATTGGGTTTTAATTTTGCTTATTAATTCTTTTATGCATTGGGATTAAGGCAAAAGATATTTACACTCCACTTAAGGCTCTCATACTTTTTTTGTGTGTCATTTTAGCTGCTAAAGTACAAAAAAGTGAGAGGTTAATGTGGAGTATGATTGTCATTTCCCAATAAAAAACACGGGGTTGGCTTCAAGTGGAAATTGGATGGCCTTTAACTTTATAATTTTGAATCATAGTGCAACAATTTGGTTTACATGTATGCTCTCGGTTTCAGGTTCTTTTGGGCACTTTCAAGCTAGCAAATCTGGAGTTCATAAAGGAGGACTAAGCCGACTGCTTGTCAAGGCTGGTTTTGTTGCTACACGTATTTCTGTAAGACTTACTCCCTTCGGGTCCTCGTTCCTAATATTTTGTTGGTTTCTTTAGTTTCAAGCTATCTTGAACCTTCTGCAATTGTAGATGTATTGTTTCATGCATGGATATTGGGTTTTCATCATGGATGGGCTTCTAATGAAAATTGAGTTTCTGCATTTTTAGTTCAACATTTGATTTTAAGAACAAGACATCTGACTGAGAACAAGCTTATTACAGGAAACATTGTTGATACTTGCAAATAGTATTACATAACTGAACAGAGACATATCATAAATTTTAAATTTGATTAGAAGTTTTTGTGGCAATGGCTCCAATACTCTTCTATGGCTAGATTCTGGATGGTGGTTTTTGCATTCAAGTGCTATGTAAGAGAAGATAAAGTCATCTTTCTTATATTGTGTAAATTACGGTTGTTAAAATCGGGATCCTACATAGGATCGGTGAGAGGGTCTCATGGATTGGATCGTAGGATCGGATTGAGGATTGTAAGATTCTACTTTCTACTAAAAATAGGGTAAAAATACAAATTAGAATGATAAGTTGAAAAACCATAAATCCAGCCATCCTACCTACGATCCTACTATATTATTGATCCTATGACAATTTGGATCATTTTGACAATTTGGATCGCAATTTTGATAACCAAGGTCTAAATATGCATATCATTGGGAAAAAATGGGCAGTATAAATAATTACTTGTTTATCAAACTTGAATTACAGTATTTTCACTCTTCTAATTAAATAAACCGTTTCCTTGCAATAGTTTCATGTAGTCAAGATCAAAAAGAAAGGAAAGATATAGGTTTAACATTCTTTAATATGTAGAGTTGTAATGTCATTATGAGGTGTCATGAAGAATGTCCTTTTTGGTTCTGCTTATTTGTAGCTTTTCTTTTTTTTTTTGGATAATTGGGTGTTCTGGTCAACTTTTTTGCACCTTGACTTCCTGGGTCCTAAAGTTAGCAACCGGGTAAACCCCCAGTGGCCCCTTGAGTTGCTCGAACTCGAGACCTTGGATTTTATCCTCAAGTCTTTACCTCTCGGTCAACCCCTAGGGTTCCCCTTATTTGCAACTTATTTAGCTTAAAATTTAGAATCACATGTTTAAGCAATTGTACTTCAAAAAGGTAGGGTGTTTAGTTCCACTTTTCAGGTTTTTAGGTTATTTGCCTTGTCAATTTAAAAAGTTTAAAATAGCCTTGAAAAGCCAACTTTTTAAAGTTGGTTTTTAGATGCTTTTTTAAAACCAAAATAAACTTCTCTCTCTCTCTCTCTCTCTCTCTCTCTCTCTCTCTCTCAATAAGTGATACCAATGGAGGCCAAAAATCTATGTCCTAGATGGTTTGCAATTTATTAAGATAGCAAGCATATGTTTCTTGAGTAATGCTTATTTATTACCTCTATCATATCAGAATATTCAGCTGCGCAAAATTTCATGTCGTTACTTTCTCTTTAATTGTATGGATAAGGGAAGCTTTGATGGAAAATCATTAACAAGGTGAATTGTATCTTTAATTTATATAAATTTGACCTTTTTTTATTTAATTGTCACCTTCCTTAATCTAGAGAATTTGACTGAATATCCAACATAAAGTAAAGTGAGTTGGTTGCATCTCCTTATCATATCCCCTCTTTTGTCTTTGGAAGTTTCTTGGAGTCATATGTTTATTTTCAGATTTCAAGCAATATTAGCCAATCATGTTACTTGATTCATCAATCTAATACAGGTAACTGTCAAATTAGATACATCTTCGGAAAATATGGCTTCACATTCTTGGGGGTCACCACTTCCTTCCTTAATTTGTTCATTTTCCTGCCTCATGTCATTAAGTTTTACTGATTATTTCTTGTAGTCCCATATTTATCCCTCACTTTGTTTGTTTCTGTTATTTCAGGTTACCTCCCTCAATCTGGAAATTGTCAGAGCACTAGCTAGAGGTACAAATCTGGTCACTAAAATGCCACTGTTCGGCCAGGTTTCTTTTCAGTTTCTGTACATTTTTTGCATCTTTTATTCCTCAGGCAATTAAATGCTACCAGGCTCTCTCAAAAGTGCAAGAAAGACCTTATTTGTTTAAAGTTGTGACTGCCAAACAGTGGCAGAGCCACCTCAGGCCCAGGAGGGGCCAGCACCCCTCTCAAATTTTTAAAATATATTGTTTGACCTTTAGTTTTTAATATGTCTTGTAGTTTACCCCTTATAAAATTTTATATATGCCCCTTACTTTTTTTTCCCCATAAAAAATCTTGCAATTTGACGCTTTATTTGTTTAAAGTTGTGACTGCCAAACAGTGGCAGAGCCACCTCAGGCCCAGGAGGGGCCAGCACCCCTCTCAAATTTTTAAAATATATTGTTTGACCTTTAGTTTTTAATATGTCTTGTAGTTTACCCCTTATAAAATTTTATACATGCCCCTTACCTTTTTTTCCCCATAAAAAATCTTGCAATTTGACGCTCTCAAATGTTTATTTGTTGTACAATCCCCTTGATTATATACATATATATATATTGCCCCTTCTGGATCTATTTCCTGGCTCCACTACTGTTGCCAAATGAATGTTCACTAAGTTGGCTATCTGACAACTAGGTCATGATGGCTTTGAAATTCTCTTTGTGATGTCTTGCAATTTGATTCACTTGTTTGTAGAACTCTACTCAGTATGTGGTTCAAGTCTGATTAATAATTTTAACTCAATAAAATCGAAAAACTTATTGAGGTCGAGGTCGACATCAGTGTCAAAACGAAAATTTGAAAATAAAATATGAAACAAAACAAAGCTCTTCTCTGTAGTCTGTAGAACAAACATGGCAGAACAAGCCTTAACCCAGAGCGAGAGAGAAAGCAAGCAAATAGAGCTGAAGGAGGAGGGCCAGAAGGCTTCACATAAAAATCATGGTGATTTGCACAGATAGATGACCATGTATTGATTGGCCATTGACTCATTGACTGAGATAAGGAATGACTGAAAGAAGTTGTATTCTCTGGATATGGTTGCATCGCTCATTAATTGCAAGTCACAGGCATAAACTGGCCTGTGTGTGCTTGTGCATGTGTTGTGATACAAGCAAGTTTTATTTACATATCCCTTTGTGTTTGTGTGTGTAACCTACCTTGCTTGCTTGTCAACAGCAACAAAAAAAGTACATGTAATCCTCACTTCAACATTTCTCTACATCCTATTTTAAGTTTATTCAAAAAACTTATGCTCACAGGAAAGATAATTTCGTGAGCTTCAAGATCACCCATTAAATTATGCAGCTGCAAAACTTGCATTGGCAGTCCTCATCAGTTGAATTTGAAAGTTCTGTGGTTACAAATTAAACAATTTGACTAAGTTAATTGAATTGGGTTGTATTTAAAGTTTTCAAACCTTGTCTCTTGCGTCAACATCTTACTACATACATGTCACTCCTCTGTCAGGATAATATTATTCACATCGAGAAACTAGCCGTCAATTGTCACCTGTTAAATGTCCACTGACCTTTTCATTTAGTGCCTGCTTTATCTACTTTACCAGTCCTATTCCTTTGAACTGGTATGTCTTTTTTGAACTATAAAGATCCACTCTAATAGACATTTGGGTTTTTCTTGCAGAGGGTGTGCCATCTATTGGAATGTCTCCGTTTGCATGTGGATGGTTGACGTGTGAAAGAAATGTCAGAAGGCATCCAGAAAGATTATTTTTGAATTACATGCAAAAATTATGAGAAATTATTGTTCTGTGTTTTCCTTCTATTTTATTTTTTTAGAAGGGCTTTTCCACAGACATCATCATGGCTGACTCAAAAGTCCCTCTACTCACTTAGGTTGGTCCCAACCACGTGAGTTTGGAGTGGATCCAGCCATTCTGGATGTCGAAATTTGATTGCCCATCTTCCTTTTTTCTGAAAAGCTTTATAATTCTCCTTGTATTGGTAATGTTTTTTAGTAAGAAAATCCCCAGAACTTTGAATCTTGATTTCAATGGTTGCAGATTGCCTCGGCTGATGTTTCCATGGTGGCTAAGGCCATTGATTCTGGTTTTGTACCTGTAAGTTTCATTTACAAATGAGATTTGAAGATTTGTTTTTTTGTTTTTGTTGTTGTTGCTTTTATATATGTTCTTATGTGGAACTATGAGTTAGAAATTAAAAGCTTTGGTCACCTTATTGATGTTTTCCCCAGAGCTTGTTAACATATGCTGTGTTAATTGAAATGAATCTTGATAAGATCAATAAGATTTCAAGCTTTTTCCATTAGGCTACTCAGTGTTAGAAGAGTTTAGCATGAACAACCAGAAGCTGCAACAGTAGAATAGTATCAAAGAAGAGCAATTCCACTCCTTTTCTGAAATCCTAATCTACAAGATCATAAGTACCTGTATATGATAAGCAACCGTCAGAAATCACTGAGTGAAATAAGACAGATGGAGAGAAATAATAATAATAATATCTAGATGAAGCCTTAGATGTCAAATGCGTGGATTTTCCGTTCATTTAATCCTTCATGTGATCAACTCTCCTGATATATACTTTGTGTATATGAGGATATCCTCTGGTTGTGTGTGCCTTTGGGGGAGGTAGGGAAAAATATTCTCTTAATGTGCAAAAAACACTCGTCGTATTTCCCTCACCATTTTGTAGATATTAGACTGACGTGTGCTTGTAGGACCAATGAAATATTCTTGTTAAATTGGATAGGAATTTTCCTTCTCACGTACTTTGAAGTATAATTTGGATGGACCAATGAAACATTCTTGTTGAATTGGATAGAAATTTTCCTTCTCATGCCCATTGTAAGTATAAGTTTGATAAATATACAAAAATAAAATGTTTTTTTGGTTGTATACTCTTTTTTTTTTTTTCCCTTTAATTGTCTGATTACTGATTTCCTTTGGCATTCAAATGGTATGACTCGGAAAAGTTAATGTGCAGATCGTAATGGAGTTTTTGTTGTTGTCTTATTCTAGGTTATGCATGGAGATGCAGTATTCGATGCTGCTCAGGTTTGATCTATTTGTGTATAATTATATATATAGGTGGTTTGTTTCTTGGTTATTGGTACTTTGGATTCCAATGCAACTAATATCTCCATTTTTCAGGCTTGCACTATATTGAGTGGAGATGTAATCATACGTCATCTTGCAGAGCAATTTAAGCCCGAATTCGTTGTATTTCTGGTATATATTATATGTTGAAGATATAGTTATTGTTTTTCTTTTCATGTTTTCTATCATTGGCATGAAGATGTGAGCTTATACTAAAAAACCCATTGTAGCTTTTATCAAACTAATATATATTACAGTTGACACATAAAAGTTAAAAGTTAAAACCAACAAAATCTGTTGATAGAAGTACATCTTGAGTTAGGATGTCTGGATGTGTCTGGCATGACATTTGATAAGCTTTTTATGACCGATACTAATCCTTCTGTGCATTCATATCAACCTTTAACTGTGTAAAACAACATGCCTGAATATTTGTTGACCATGGCATGCCCATAGACTAACAGTTTCGCATAATGAAAAACTTCATCTTGTATATAAATTTTCAGCTTGCAAAATTATTTCAATTTTCAAGAATAACAGGTGAACTGTTAAGTGTTAGTGTCTAAGGTAGTTATGTCATTTGAGTCTTGAGTCTTTTATCATAAATACATGTACGAGGGGAGAACCCTAATTTCATAGTAGTGTTAATAAACTCAGCCGATCTCGCTCTTTGTCCTTTCTTTCATTCTTTTCTTTCTCATTTGCAAATCTAACACGGCATCAGAGCAACATCTTCCTCCTTGAAAATTTCTTTTCTCTTGTTTCTTGTTTATTTATTTATTTATATTTATATTTTTCTCGTTTTTTTCTATACATAGCAACAAAAAAAAAAACAAAACAAAAGATCCTCCATCATCGAAATTTGATGGGTTTTCACCCTAGGATTTTATTTTAATTTTTTGTTGATTGTTTGAGTGTTTTTTCGATTTGTGTTGATTTTTTGGGAAAACTGTTTGATTTTTTGGAAGTCCTTGCTTGGGCTGTTTTTGGCCTGAATTCTCCCTTCCTCCCTCTACCTTTGGAGCCGACTGGACTTATTAGAGGGCTTAGAGTCCTGGTTTTGATGATTTGGCAAGGCTCTCCTCAGTTTCTCTCAGTTTCTCTCAGTTTCGGCAAGGTTTTTCTCAGTTTCTGTTCGTTTCGGCTTCTCCGGCCTACGTTTCGGCTTTGTTTTTGTCTCTAGAGGTAACCTATTATTCCTAAGTTGGGTTTGTGGATTTACCTCTCTTTGTTTTTGCTACTTCCTAGGCTATTGTGTGGTTTTCTATTGTGTGTCTTTAATTTTCCATGGCTAGGGGTGAGACTCAGGATCCTACTATTAGTGAAGAGGGTGGGCTGCGTTCGTGTTATTACTCTTAACGATGGTCCCTCTCTTCAAATTAGTCCCGTCAAACTAGATGGTTCCAACTATTTGAATTGGTCACGCTCCTGTAATCTCACTATTGCTGCTCGTTGTTTGATTGGCTACATCACTGGTTCTCTTCCTCAACCGGATGCTGATGACTCTTCGCGTACTCAATGGATTTCTAAGAACACTCTAGTTATGACTTGGCTAATCAACTTTATGCAATGTACCATTAGTCAGAGTTTCCTCTTATTGGATACTGCTCATAAGATTTGGGCAGTTGCAACCTAGATATATTCTCAACAGGGTAATGATGCATTGGCGTATAAGTTAAGAAAGAAGCTTCAGGACTGGGATCAGAAGGATAGATCACTCGCGGTATACTATGCTGAGTTGAGTAGTTTGTGGCAGGAATTGGATTATTACCAGAGTTTCCAAACTGCGTGTTCCTAGGATGTCACTTCATTTCAGCAAACCGTGGAGGAGTGTGTGTATGACTTTCTTGTTGGCCTTAATTTGGAGTATGATTAGATTTGTGTCCAGGTGTTGGTTTGTTCACCATTTTCCACCCTACGTGAGGCTTATGCTCTTGTCCTGTAAGAGGAGAGTCGACGTAGTGCTATAATTCATTCCTCTATTCAAGATCATTCTGCTTTGGTTGTTGCTCCTCCTACTCAAGCTCTTAGGTCTAGTCCAGTTCAGTCTAGTAGTCAGGATACACTGGTTGATCGAGATCGATTGAAGTGTGATTATTGTGGGAAAGACAGACATGATCGAGAGCATTGTTGGAAATTGAATGGTCGCCCTACTCAGGGCCGTGGCTGTGGTAGTACAACTTGTCCCTAAGCACATGTCTTTGAGATTGCTGGTAGTACTCCTTGTGAGCCCATTACTTTTTCCCAAGATGAGTTACACACTCTTAGGTGCTTGATCGCTTGGCTTGATCACTTTTATGCTTTTTTCAATTTTGCCCACAGGTATTCTTGGTAGTACCCTTAATACATCATCGTTGCCTTCTTGGACTATAGATTCTAGTGCCACCAACTACATGACAGGTGCCTCTAGTCTTTTCGATTCTTATTCTCCTTGTTCTGGACGAGATAAGGTTAGAGTGGCTGATGTCACTTTATCCTTTGTATTTGGTAAGGATTCGATTCATTTTCCTCTTTATTTTCTCTTTCGTCTGTGCTTCATATTCCTAATTTTTCCACTAACCTGTTTTCTGTTAGTAGTCTTGCTACTTCTCTAAATTGCTCAGTGACCTTTTTTCCTACTTAATTGTATCTTTCAAGAACTGGCTATGGTGAAAATGATTGGTAGTGGTAGAGCACAAGGTGGACTGTATTTTCTAGATGCCGTTCCTCCTGCCGTACCTTTGCCATCTCAGGCTCTCCAGTGCACTACCGGCACCTCCCTTCATTGGTGGCATCATCGTTTGGGTTATCATTCCTTTAGCATTTTAGAGAAGCTTTTTCGGTCTTTAGTTCATGATTGTCTTAGGAATAATTTTGGTTGTGATGCTTGTGAACTAGCAAAGCATAAACATGTTGTCCTTCAATTAATAAAAGAAGTACTTTTTCTTTTATGCTTATTCATATTGATGTGTGAGCCCCTTTCCCCTGTGGTTTCTACTTCTGGGTATCGGTGGTTTTTTACTTTTATTGATTGTTATTTCTGTGTAAGTTGGATTTACTTGCTTCGGACTAAGAGTGAAGTGTATTATTGTTTTCAACTTTTTCATAATATGGTGACCGATCTTTTTAATGCTTAAATCAAAAGTCTTTGGAGTGATAATGGGATTGAGTATGTTGATGAAGCTTTTTGGGCATACCTAGAGGAGCATGGCATCCTCCATCAAACTAGTTGTGTTGGCACACCTCAGCAGAATGGAGTTGCTGAACACAAGAATAGCTATCTCCTTGAAGTTGCTTGCTCTCTCTTGTTTACCATGAACATCCCTATGTCTTTTTGGGGTGATGAGATGTTATTCTTGCCGTTGCCTTATCAATCGTATGCCTTCCAGTGTCCTCTAAATCCAGATTCCTCTTGAATTTCTTCCTGTGGCATATCCCACCTCTTCTTTTCCTCCTTAGGTTTTTGGGTGTCTGTTTTGTTCATCTGCAATGTACTCGTGGGAAGCTTGATCCTAAAGTTTTGCGTTGTTTCTTTATTAGCTATTCTGCTACTTAGAAGGGTTACAAAGGCTATGATCCTCAAGTGTATGTTAGTATGGATGTGTCACCTTCCGTTGAGTCTTTTTTACTTCTCCTCCTCCGTCTCCTCAGGTGGAGAGTGTTATGGATGAGATTACGAATGAGGAGATGGCATATCAGCATGAGTTATCCTTTTTTCTTCCTAGTCAGCTGGCTATTATTTGTGGTGACGGGGAGCCTAATAGTTCTCTTGATGTGGAGCCTGACATCGGTGTTCGTTTGGACAAGGTTGATCTTAAGACTTATTCTCGGTGTCCGAAAGAGTAGACTTCCCTAGTGCTACCAGATCAATCATCGTCCCTTGTGCCGATTCCAGATCTAATTTGAATCAATTCTACAGGTAATGCACCGTAGTCTATTTCTCCACTTGTAGTTGATAGTCTTCTTGTTGACGATTTGAGTCTTTCTATTGCTCTTAGAAAGGGGGTTAGGTTTTGTACTCAACACCCCATTTCTAAATTTGTGTCATATGATTCGTTGTCTTCTACATATCGTGCTTTTGTTTCGTTTTTGTCTTCTGTGTGTATTCCACAAGGTTGGAAAGAAGCTATCAATGATCCTAAGTGGCAAGTAGCTATATTAGAAGAGATGCAAGTTCTAGGCAAATATAACACTTGGGAGTTGGTTCTTTTTCCTAGTGGAAAAAACCCTGTGGGGTGTAAGTGGGTGTACACCATTAAGCAGAAAGCAGATGGGACAATTGAACGGTACAAAGCAAGACTAGTGGCCAAGGGGTTTATTTAGACATATGGAATTGATTATCAAGAAAACTTTGCTCATGTAGCAAAGATGAATTCCACTTGAGCTATTCTCTCATGTGCGGCTAATTTGAGATGGCCTTTACAGCAATTAGATGTGAATAATGCATTTCTCCATGGTGATTTGGAAGATGAGGTATATATGGATGTACCATCAGGATTCTCATCTCAGTCTACGATTGGAAAATTTTGTAGGTTGAAAAAGGCTTTACATGGTTTGAAACAGTGTCTTCGAGCTTGGTTCGGGTATAAGCAAAGCAATGCAGATCACACAATGTTTGTCAAACGCAATGCAAATAAGGGAATGGTGCTTATAGTATATGTGGATGACATAATTGTGACAGGTAATGATGAGAAGGAAGTGACACATCTTAAGATGTTGGTCCAGGAATTTGAGATCAAAAGACCTTGGTCCGTTGAGGTGTTTTCGTAGGATTGAAGTTGCCAGATCTAACAAAGGCATCTTTATTTCTCAGAGGAAGTATATCATAGATATTCTTGAGGGAACTGGCGTGTTAGGCTGCAGACTTGCTGATTCACCAATTGAGGCTAATCACCATCTTTGTAGTGGCATTGGTGATCTTGTGGAGAAGGAAAGGTACAAGAGACTTGTGGGAAGGCTTTTATATTTATCCCATACTCGTCCAAATATTGCCTATGCGGTCGGGATAGTGAGTCAGTTTATGCATGATCCTCGTGCAACTCATTTGGATGTAGTGTATTGCATTTTAGGGTATCTTAAATCCGTTACTGGAAAAAGGATTTTGTTTTCTAATCCTGGTCACTTGAGATTGGAGGCATTCACGGATGTAGATTGGGCTAGTTTTATAGATTACAGACGATCTACCTCCGGTTATTGTGCATTTGTGGGGGGAAATTTAGTCACTTGGCATAGTAAAAAGCAAGCATTGGTGTCCAGACTTAGTGCAGAGGTAGGATACAAAGCTACGGCGCATGGTACATGCGAATTGATGTGACTTTAGTCCTTGCCGAGTGATATAGGGCTTGCTTGCAATGAACCCTTGATTATGTATTGTGTTGTGACAACAACGCTATCATTAGTCTTGCTCACAATCCTGTTCAGCGTGACAAAATAAAGCATATTGAGATCAACAGATATTTTATTAAGGAGAAATTGAATAAGGGTTTAATATGTATGCTTTTTGTGAAGCCTGAAGATCAATTAGCTAATATATTTACTAAGGGTCTTAGTAGTAAGGTCTTTCACCCCAATTGTTGCAAGTTGGGCATGAGATATATATTTGCACCAACTTGAGGGGAAGTGTTAAGTGTTAGTATCTAAGGGTAGTTATGTCATTTGAGTCTTGAGTCTTTCATTATAAATACATGTAAGAGGGGAGAACCGTAACTTCATTATTGTGTTAATAAACTCAGCCTTCTCTCTTTCTCCTTTCTTTCATTCTTTTCTTTCTCATATGCAAATCTAACAAGAACATGTTCCATCGTCTAGAGCAATTGTCAAGTGGAGTGCATTTTGAACATTTAACATTATGTACCTGTGCCATCAGGCAATGAAATGGATACTAAACATTATGTCCACATAATTTTCAACGAAAATAAAATACTCTGGCCATCTGACAACTAGGAGTTTCTTGTTCCAAACTGAATGCTCCGAAACTAAGAAGCACTGACAAAGACAAGTGACACGAGACAAACACACCAACACAGAAATTTTTAACATATGTAGGACACGGCACGTGACGGACACATGCAAAATATATAATTTCATTTATTTATTATGTCATATATATGAATATTTAAGTTAAAAATAATAATTTTTAAAGTCTAAAGGAGGAGAATAGGTATGAATTTATATATATATATATATATATTGTTTCATCATTGAATTATAAGTTATTTTATTCGAACTTGTAATGCGTTTCATGGGAAGTGTTGCGAAATGTCCAACGAATGTCATGTTACCTTTTTGGAGGTGTTCGGGCTTCTTAGAAGTGTTGACTGCTTTCCAAATGTTTTCTGGTCTCTTATTTCCACATGTTGAAGTAGCTTTATTTCAAAATTACTGGCATCATCTTGTTTCAGAGTGAATGATGTGTTGATGGCTTTTCCAATAGTCTGACGCAGTCTTAAATATCCATAGTTGATGTCTCTTCAATATTAAATTACGATCATCACCCTGTATGTGTGAAATTGCTTTTCCTTATTTAATGTAATGTGGATTGAAGACAGATGTTTTGGGGGTGTATGACCGTCCACCGACAGAGCCTAATGCAGTGCTTCTTAGGGAGATTGGTGAGCACCCATCTAAGCCCTAGATCTTTTATGTTGATTGCTCATTTGATTAGGTATGCCTATTGTTTTGAAATTACAGAAGTGCGTGAAGATGGGAGCTGGTCTGTAGTGAAACCAACATTAGAAAACATGAACAAGCGAGGTTAGTTTTCAATCAAAATAGAGTTACGAGCACTTCTGACATTTAGAATGTAAATTTGTTCATTGTACTTGGTATTGCATGTGGATCTTTTGATCTTTTAAGTATTGGCTCCTCAAAGGATATCAGTTATATGATTTGCTTTTATTTTAAATCTTCAATTGCATCTATGATGACTCTTCCAACGATTGCTTCCTCAAACTCAAATGGAATATGAGCGCCTGTTTGGTGCAGCTTATAAGGTTTGCTTATAACCGCCTTTTCTATTTTGGGAGTTTGTACCAGCGTGCTTAGTGTGGCTTCTACTTGTAACTTATAAAACATAAATAGTTTAAATAAACTAAAAATAGTCAATTATCTGGAAGTTGCAGAAGGGATGTTTTAGCTTCAACTTTTCGATTGTCAATTTTTAACTTGAAAAAAGTTGTACCAAATAGGCTCTAGGAATGAATTGATACAATCTCCATGAGAGATTTGATCCAAAAGCCACTATTTCATGTCTAATTTCGGGGAAAGCTGCCTCTTTGCTTTTTGTAAATTACATAATATTCCATTTAAGTGAAAATTAGGCATTTCCTATGATGTTTGCCAAATTTCTTGGTTTTTTATTTTATTTTAATTGGTTGCTGACCATGAAAATATATGAAATGAGTAATGTTGTATCTACTTCTACTCTGACTGATTTTCAGTTGATAATTTCACATATAACTAGCAGCTGATGTGGTTCTGGATTGAAAAAAACACAAGGCTACATATTAAAGAACACAAATTTTGATTAATCTTAATATTTGCATCAACAGTTGAGATAACTGTAGCAGCCCATGACACAACGGGAGGGATGGAGACCAAAATATCAGAAGCTGCAGCAATTGCAAAACTTGGAATCGATGTGTACATTGTGAAGGTAACTACTTGCAAACACTTCCTGCTATAATATTTGTAGAGTTCATGTGTTCTAAGATTTTTCGTTGGATACAGGCAGCCACAAGTCATTCATTAAGGGCTCTGAGCGGGGAATTGAAAGACAACATTCCAGAAGACTGGCTTGGAACAGTCATCCGGTTTCTGAGATAGAAGACATGGCTGCTGCTAGAGCCTTCTCGTGGAACTCGATGTTTGAAAAGTATGGTCGATGCAAACAAAAGGTATACTAGGACGATCCTTTCTTGTATGAGGCTGCTAAAATGGGCAATTGTTCTGGAATTGTCGGACTTATTGCTGAAAATGGCTATTTATTTGGTTGAACTCAGCCACTGGTTGGTTGGCAAGACATTAGAGAAACTTATGGTTTGACAAGTACATTCTCATGGCATTGTAACTTTTTTTGGGTTGAACTCAATTATGAGTAGTTTTGAATGGAGCTAGACTGTTGAATTGTTGGATTGAGAATGTTAAAACACAGAAATTGATCTCAAACCAAGGCAGTCATGTTGTTTCTTGTTGTTCCGCTTGTCTGTTGAATGTCATCACCACTAGGTCTCTCTAATGTTTCTTCCCATTGGCATGGACTAATTTTTTTATTTTTTTATTTTTTAGGGCTGTAAATTACACTTACCTCTCATGAACCATCCCTGTAGTTTCTAAAATTACAATAATCTCTCTTACTTTTTTTGACATTGTCAAGATTTTCCTTCTGTTGTTTATAGGTGGTTCTATTTGCACCCCAAAAGATTTGATAGACACCCCAATTTAATAAAACTTTTTACTTATTTATTTATTACTATTAGTCCCTCTTTAAAATAACTAAAAAGTACTTAGATATTGAAAAAAAGTACAAATTATAGTGTTTTGGATATCCCATCTCATAATCGGTCTCAATCTTCCCTTCTCTTTACTTCTCATCTTCATACTCAAATCATATTTTTCTTGAATTTATTATTCTCACATTTTATTTCATATTAAAGTTAACAATGGACAATGACGAAAACGTTTTCAAGCTACTTTTTATAGATAAATGTTGGCACTAAATTTTGAAAATTTTCCTGCTGTAAATTTAGCAAAATTATGAAAATTTCCTCTAGACACCCCATTTTGACCGGCCCTAAGACTTGGGCGCTTTCTTTTGATTACTCTGTTGACGTGGCATGATGACTATGCCAGTGAGGTGGCATAATGATTTGGCATTTGAAAAATAGAAAGCCAAATGGAGTTTAACTGGTGAAGAACATGGATGAAGTTGTTGCTGAAATTAAGGAAGTCAGAGCCAAGTCAAAGAGGATCTGCTAACGGTTCCTAAAACAAAGGGATGGGGATGAAGTGGAAGCAGAGCATCAAGGAAGATCATGGCTGCATCAAGAGGTGGCTAAACCAGTATAAAAGGAGTTTTAGAAAAAGAAATGACATCCAACGCAACTCACACATCATGATTATCAAGCATAGCTTCTAGTTAGGAGTAGTCAACTTAGCAATTCTAGAAGTAGATCAGCAATAGTTTCTCTCAACCCCTTTCCTTTTGTCGATCATTGTATTTTTTAGTTCTTTGTTCTTATTTGAAGTTCATGTAACTTATAGTAAGTGACATCCGCCTTGATTAATACAAATTCAATTATGTTTCTATCATATTGTTCTTTATTTAATTAAGGCATAGAATTCAACCACAAGTCTGATTTATATTTGTTAAAGTAAAAACTAAATGTTTTGTCCGTTGATTTGACTTAACCAAATTTTTGCTAACAAGTAGGTAGATTTTCTATTCATCTTCATCTTTTTTGGTAGATGGTTTTCCAAATTTGTTCAAAAATTCAATACCGAACAAATTACATTTATTCAAAAACTTATTTTAAAAAAAATTTCATCTATCCAGCACTGTATTTTCAAATTATCTAATTTTGTTTAGTATTTAATATCCAAAAAAATTGTATACGTTCAATTCTGTGTTTCCGAATAATTAAATTTCTAACTACTTCATATTTTAATTAATTTTGAACAAAAAAAACTATCCGGTATTATATCTCCAAGCAAATTATACGTATTTGGAAATTTGTTTTCAAATAAATTCAATTTCGTTCAGTATTGAGTATTTAAAAAAATAAAAATATTTGGCTTTATATTTTCATACTTCTAAATTTTCTAACTTCTCATGCTATGTTTTATGGTGATGTTTGACATTTCCAATGGGGTAGGCGACAACAGGAGAGGTTGATTTGTTGTGTTGCTCAGCGTGAGAAGTTAAGTTGGAGAGAATTTGGACCAATTTAGTTGGTAGGGTGTGTTAAGTATCTCTCTAGAGTTTTTGAGAATATAATAAGAATTATTTGGGGTGTTCGCAATAATAGAATAAATTTCAAATTTTAAAATAGAGTGTTCAAAATATTAGGGTGTCCAACCAATCTTTTGGGGTGAAAATAGAGCCATGCCTCATTTATTCTTTAGAAGCTGTTAAGTTTTGAAATAAAATAACAACAATAATCCTCTCATCTTCTCTATGTTTCTACTTATACCAATTATTCAATTTTAAATTTTTTATTTCTAATTGTTTCTCAAAATAAGTATTTTTCATAAACAAATTGAAAATAACTGTATTCAAAATACTTATTTGTATTTTTAAGAATTTTTTTATTTATTAAAAATAGGTGTTTTAAATTTTTTATAAAAACTATAATTTCTCAAAATGGGTCTTTTTCATTTTTTTTTTATAAAAAAAGTTCAAATACCTATATGTATTTTTAATATTTTTTATTAAAAATATATATATATATATATATATTTTCAAATTTTTATTCAAACTCTAATACATTAAAATATGTAATGTTTTACATAGACTTTTTTATTACTCATTATTTCTATGCATAAAATATACATTGATGGTTTTTTTCTTAAATAGAAAAAATTGACATATTATAGTTTGGGAAAATAGCGGAGGAATACTTCTACAAATTTGTGTAAGCGTTCAAGGACAACAACAATTTATTTGCTAGTTGAAGTCATTAAGACTTTAAATTATAAAAAAATAAGGAAAAATTTTGACATAAATGGACCAAACTATCCCTAAGAACATAAAAAAAAACCCTAGATCTCTTTCTATCGTGTCTCTATGTTTCCTGTCACTTCCCCTCTCTCTCTCTCTCTCACTCCCCCCCTTCTTAACGGTCACCGTATCTACTAGAGTTTGTTGCTGCTACCACCACTGTTTCAGCCGCTACTGCTATTGTTGTCTATGTCATTTTCAGATCTCTCTCTCTCGCTTTTCATATATACAATTTTCTTCTCTCTATATCTCTATCTTTGTAACGCTTTCCTCAAATCTGCTTCGAGAACCAACGCGATTTTTTATCATCCAATATAATCATATCTTTGGATTGTTCATTACCATTGAATAATGACGTAGAAGATATCAACACTCCAATCAAGAATAATCAGTGTTTGGAACTTCCTGCAGAGGACAATTTGACATGTTGCTCGTAGGGCTACAAACGAGCCAAGCCAAGTTAAGCTTTAGTATGTTTGGACTTGTTTATTAAGATTTTAAAGAATTTGAACTCAAGGTTGAGCACAATAAAAATTTAATGAATTGAGCTCGAGTTGAGTTGGCTTAGGCTTGACTTTGACTCCATGGCTTAGTAGAGACTGATCTTTGATTGAGTGAGCGGGGGTGCTCAATTAATGACATTCCTCTCTCATACCTAAGGTTCCGAGCCAAGCATCCTTGGTTACGACGAACAGTGGCCTTGGCACCGAGTCATGGGTTTCCTAATTTCCCAAAATATTAGGTGGCGACTCTGAGATCTGATGACGCAGTCCATTTTTGACAAAATTGCAATAAAAATGGATTTTCAATAAAAGTTGCCAAATTTGGACTCTCATCTAAGTTTCACATTGCACTCGTGAGAATAGATCAAAGAGATCTTGGGGGTCCGAACTGTTTAACGCGCGCGGGTACCCCCCGGGCATTTTCCACCCTCCCTCCCTCCCTCCCTTCTTAATGGTCACCGTATCTACTATAGTTTGTTGCTGCTACCACCATTGTTTCAACCGTTACTGCTATTGTTGTCTATGTCATTTTCAAATCTCTCTCTCTCTCTCTCTCTCTCTCGCTTTTCATATATACAATTTTCTTCTCTCTATATCTCTATCTTTGTAACGCTTTCCTCAAATTTGCTTGTGAGAACCAACGCGATTTTTTATCATCCAATCTAATCATATCTTTGGATTGTTCATTACCATTGAATAATGACGTAGAAGATATCAACACTCAAATCAAGAATAATCAGTGTTTGGAACTTCTTGCAGAGGACAATTTGACATGTTGCTCGTAGGGCTACAAACGAGCCAAGCCAAGTTAAGCTTTAGTATGTTTGGACTTGTTTATTAAAATTTTAAAGAATTCGAACTCAAGGTTGAGCACAATAAAAATTTAATGAATTGAGCTCGAGTTGAGTTGGCTTAGGCTTGACTTTGACTCGAGCTCGAGCTTGAGCCTGTTCACGAGCCTTAACGAGTCAAAAAAATTATAAATTCATATTTACGTATGAAACTAAAGTTATAATTGAAATTTTTATTATAAAATTATATATACAATGTATATAAATATACTAAAGGAGAAGTCAATATTTTACTAAAATAATAATATCTATCTCCATTATTATATAAATGTATTATTTATAGTTAGCTATTATTTATATTTACATTTTTCAAATATATAAATTACATATTTATTTTATTTTTTATACATATTTTTACATTATTTAATATATAAATAATAAATGTTAAACGAGCTAGCTAACGAATCAAGTTTTAGTATGTTTGGACTTGTTTATTAAGATTTTAATGAACTTGAGCTCGAACATAAAAAAAAATAAATTAAAGAACTGAATTCGAATGAGTCCTTACTGAACATAACTCGAGCCTATTCATGAACGACTCTGTTCATTTTGGATTCCCATCCGCCCAATAAAGTCCATCAGTCCCTATTAGGCAACAAGAATACAAATATTAGTTATGTTGGAAATTGGGTCGGGTTTAGAATCCCTATCTAATTGGGTCGCCCATGGTAGCACAACCTCATTAGGAGAGATCCAAATAAAATAATAGATTATATTTCAAGATATGAGATAATCTTGATATGGATAATAGTCAATATATAAATATATATTAGATAATAATTATTAATTAAATATTGTTGATTTGAGATAGACATTATCTAAGATAATATATTTATCTTATAGGTCTCCTAACTCTCCTATATAAACAAAACTTGGGTTGGGTATTTCAAAGAATAAAAATTATACATTCTGTACTGTGATTGATGTGGGTAAAAGTCTAGTAGTTTTATTCCATTGCTGTGGAGATTATTCCAGAGTTCATGATTTACCTTCTAAAGTGAATTTATTGTTCAATTTGTTTACCCACAAGGTATACCTGAATCCATATAATTTTTCGCTATGTATATAGTAATATATTTGGTATCATAGCCATTATTAAGATGTTTTCGTGTTATTGAATACTCATAAAATTAGTATTCTATGCTAATATATGTATATATA